GCCCGATGCTGCAGCACGACCATTTGCAGCAGAGAATGGTGGTTTTGATGAAAGTAACGAAAATTTTTGTGTACGTGGCTTTTTCTTCTCAAAAAAGTTGCTCGTTTTCGTAGAACTAATGCTATGCAGCCCAGGATCGAAAGATCTGGCATAGCTGCACCAGGTATATAGGGGAGCATGTCATTTTTATCACTGGCATGAGTTACCTACACTAGTTGCTGGAACGATTTTGATATTATTGGAATTTTTAGCTAACAAATAGCGTAATAGTTTCTGATGCTCCTTCTGCGATATTTTGGAATGAAGCCGTAACTTTCTTCTGTGTCCCATCGGTTATCAGCTTCCTAGGTTTTTTCAGTAGTTCGAAAAGCGTTTCTTTTGAAGAAAAGCTGAAGATCGAGAAATTTCCATAAAGCCAGTTCCAGAGATGCCTAAGATAATGCGAATTTTGCGGAACCATCCTTTTTGAAAGAAAATTTATCTAAGGATGTTTAGTTTTTTCATCTGTTGCTTGAAATTTAGGAGCTTAAATGTCTAGGATTTTTTTAGCGCATTGCTGCTAACTCACCTGCACTGGCTTTGATTTGTTGTAGGCTGCAGCTGAATCTTCTGGTACGGAGGAGCAGCTGCATGAGGTACAAATGCCAGCAGCGGCGGATAGTGTTCACCCCGGAAGAAGTATGGTTGCCGGAAGATGTCGTCATCCGGCAACTTCTGGAAATGCAGATGGTACAGAGCAAGACTCGCAGCATATAATTCCTCCGGATCTTCCAGCCGACGATGTATGTTTTTTTTTCTTGCAATAGCATGGCGGAAGTGCTAAAATTCGGGGCCTGATTGTCGTGGAAAACCGGCGAAAAACTGGTCAGGAAGCCGCCACAAAGAAAAGAAAAAAGAAAGGTGCATCTTGCCTTGAAAGGTAGATACACAGCAGATGTGCTGCCAAGCCGAACGTGGGGCACAAAGACCGATGGTGTAGTGGGTAACACGTTACGTTAGGATGTGAAGAGGAGCAGTTCGATTCTCAGCTGGTCCAGGACGATTTTTGAGAACGGGCTCCGTTCACGTCACTGATGTTTAATTGCTTTCCAGAAGCCACGTGTTTTAATTGTCCTATATTGTTACATTGACTAGACCGTATTTCATTACTTTGTTTCTTTTCATCGTCGATGTAGCTAGAAACATCTCCATTCTTCTCCTGCTTCGAGCCTCTGATTTACAAAATTTCATATAATCATTCAAATGAATCTTTCCGCCTGCTCGTCTTAGTGTCCGTCCAATACTTCGAGCAGTAGTAATCCGCCCTGTTCGTTTTATCATTTTCTTCCTGTATTTCAAACCACATTTGTTGTGTATCCTTTTTTGCACATATTTAATTTCAGGATGTTCCATTTGAAGAAGTTCGCATCAGCGGACCTGATGAAAATGTACCAGTAGAGCAG